GATCACTGGAGATATACACAGGGAGGGAGGGGGGGCAGGAGTCCCTGTCACAGGGCCGGGCGGCTGCTGCATGCCGCCGCATGATGGACCAGAGGGAGGACAGTGACATCTAGTGGCAGACCGAAGGAAACACAAGGTTGATAAAGACCAAAGACTTCCGCATCATTTAATATCAATACAGGTTATTAGGGCTGTTTCTATTTAATGATTTCGTAATGGAGTCATTTCAATCAATATGAAAAGAAGAAAAGAGGAATTAATACCATGAAAAAAATGTACATAGCGTTTTCATTGATTATAATGGCAAAAAAAAAAAAAAAAAGTGTGTGTGTATATGTATATATGTGTATATATGTATGTATATATGTGTATATGTGTGTGTATATGTATATATGTGTATATATGTGTGTATATGTGTGTGTATATGTATATATGTGTATATATGTATGTATATATGTGTATATATGTGTGTGTGTGTATATATATATATATATGTGTGTATATATATGTGTATATATGTATGTGTATATACAGTATGTGTGTATATATATCACTGATTCTTGAAACTTCGGCAAAAACATGTCCCACTAAGAAAAATGCTAATTCTGTTGGAAAGAAATAAAATTTTCATGAATAAAAACAATCAAGGTTATAATCAGGGGGTCCTTTGCACAAATGCAAGGTTCTTTTAAAGTTTTTTTATTTTATTGTTAATTTAATGATTATATGCTGGCCCATTGCCTATAAAATCAGTTGTCCTTGGATAGGAGATAATCATTTCAACTTGATTAAAAAAACAAAAAGTAATAATTGAATTGAATAATATCTTTACCAAATGAAAGGGTACATTTTAATATGTATTTAAAACTACAAACAGTGAGTTTTGAACAATAATAACCATTATTTTGTGATTGTTCAAAATGTGTCCCACATATTTGTCACCACCGTCAGATATTTATAAAAAGCAATAAAATCAGGCAACTAAAAGGTCAACTACATGCCTGAGGACCCCATTTTCAAATCTTCAGCTCTACTGGATGCCTTAAGGTCACTCAAGCTCCTGTAGGTTTGCTATTTTCTCTTAAACTTGTTCATATTTTTTGGACACTGCTAATGTCACAACCATAACATGTCAACACCGTCTCTTTTGTATAAAAAATATTAGATTAGATTATGACATAAATGTTTACTTTTTAAGAAGAGGTCTAAAGTAGCTAGCAACAGAGGGGAAACAAGATGGCTAATGTGAACAACTCATGCATATCATGTGAAAGAGTAGGATTTTGTCACCACCGTCAGATTTTCTGTCTGACGGTGGTGACGCACAGTCTGACGGTGGTGACAAAAAACTACAAATGGATCTCAATGGAGGCTAGAAAATAATTGTTGATCTGTAATGTTTCATTAACCTCTTTTATATTTTTATTTATGTAATTCCGCCTAGATTTCTTCCATATTGTATAACCCTAGGGGATGGGGTGTGCCTTCCCTGTCTCTCAATTCACTATTATGCCATGTTCATTTGGTTTACATCATTTGGGATGCACATAGTGCACCTACTACCTACCTACATAGCACATAGTATACAATATTCCTTGTAAGCTATGGCAGGGCAACATTTAACCAAATCTAACATTTACTGTAATTCCCCCCAATTTCATAGTCATTACACTCAACTTTGACTTTATGTATTTTAGGAAGTTATGGCTAGGAAGCAGCTATCTGTGAAGGAAAGAAGGAAAAGAAACAGGGAATATCAAAAGAAGTGTGAAGGCCTACTGACAAAAAACCTACATATATTCAAGCAATTACTCAGAAGGTTCAAAATTTCTACCATAATGCAGCACGAATGACAACTGACAAACAGGACACAATCACACGCAAGAAAATAAAGCATCAGAGAATGATTCTGACTGATAATGATATTTCTTAATTGTACCTTATATTCCTTGAAAAATATTTGTCACAGTGCTCATGATTGTTATTTTTTGGACCAAATAGTTAAATAAAGTTAATAAGCAAGAAACCATTGACTTGAATTGTATACAGTTTGGAATTGTATGTTGAAATGAGGCCACTGTCAACACCGTCAGTTCTAAAGTCACCACCGTCAGAGGGCTTTTTATTCGTTTTAAATTAATATGCTTGCAATATGTTTCTTCAGTGCTGTTCTCTCATTAAAGTAATGGTCTCTTTTAATACAAAAATATGTTTGTTAAATAAAAAAACATGACTTTTTCTATTTAGGCTTAAAGTAAACGTTATCTGATGTTAGATATTTTAAAGGACTACACATGATACAGTTAAAAAAAATTAACAAAAATGATTATTCAACATTTAACAGCATAAATGTGTGCTAACAATGCCAGATAAAGATTTAAAAACTCTAAATACTTATTAGACCAAATAAATAAAAAATAATTAGCTTTTTATTGTGTCTGATGGTGTTGACAAAAACAAAGTAATAACTGGAAAAATGCCTATTTTATGAAAGAAATACAAAATGAGGAGGTTGCACCTGTACACTGCTGAACAGCCAAGACCTTGGTCTATAACAATATACCTTCAGATTTTGTAATCCAACTAACTTTTTATTTTCAAAATTAAAACCTGTTTTATCCAAATTCCCAAGAATCAGTGATATGTGTGTATATATATGTGTATATATATATGTGTATATATATATATATGTATATATATGTGTGTATATATGTATATATGTTTGTATATATGTGTATATATGTGTGTATATATATGTATATATGTGTGTATATTAGGGGTGGGTATTGGCAAAGAAGTCACGATTCGATTCGAATCACGATTCACATGCCACGATGCGATTCTATCACGATGCATCACGATACTTGAAATATTGCGATGCATTGTGATATTTTCACTGAACACTGTAAGAAAAAGATACAGCCCTTACCAGTGGCTGACTGGCTGGGTGTGATCTGGATAGTGTCTTCAATTGATACATAACTGAAAGCAACTGAATTCATACATAGCTGTATTTATTGAAATTACTTTTGGAGGTGTTGCAATGAAAACAAATACTGGACAGAAATATTACTATTACTGGCATGGACACACCAACAAAAAGATCTTAGGATTCATCAAACTTAAAATAACAAAATGAGGATAATCAGTCCGGACATGCTTATGACACAAAGCAGCAGGCGTCAACACATCCGCAGCGACATCTGCTGGACTGGAAGTTGTATTCCACTTGGTTTGATTGATGTGCGCCAGCCATTAATGTATTTTATTTGTTCATTTTTTTTTTTTTTAATAATCGATTCTTGCCTTCAAGAATCGATTCAGTAGATCACAAAAATTAGAATCACGATTCATCGATTTGACGATTATTTTGCACACCCTTAGTGTATATATATATATATATGTGTGTATATATTTGTGTATATGTGTGTGTGTATATGTGTGTGTATATATGTGTGTATATGTGTGTATATATATATGTATATATGTGTGTATATATATGTGTGTATATGTGTGTATATATATGTGTGTATATATATGTGTGTATATATATATGTGTATGTATATATGTGTGTATGTATATGTGTGTATATATATATGTGTATGTATATATGTGTGTATGTATATATGTGTGTATATATATATGTGTATGTATATATATATGTGTGTATATATATATGTGTATGTATATATATATATGTGTGTATATATATATATATATATATATATATATGTGTGTATATATTTGTGTATATGTGTGTGTATATATGTGTGTATATGTGTGTATATATATATGTATATATGTGTGTATATACACTATATTGCCAAAAGTATTTGCTCACCCATCCAAATTATTGGAATCAGGTGTTCCAATCACTTCCATGGCCACAGGTGTATAAATTCAAGCACCTAGGCATGCAGACTGTTTTTACAAACATTTGTGAAAGAATGGGTCGCTCTCAGGAGCTCAGTGAATTCCAGCGTGGAACTGTGATAGGATGCCACCTGTGCAACAAATCCAGTCGTGAAATTTCCTCGCTCCTAAATATTCCACAGTCAACTGTCAGCTGTATTATAAGAAAATGGAAGTGTTTGGGAACGACAGCAACTCAGCCACGAAGAGGTAGGCCACGTAAACTGACGGAGCGGGGTCAGCGGATGCTGACGCGCATAGTGCGAAGAGGTCGCCAACTTTCTGCAGAGTCAATCACTACAGACCTCCAAACTTCATGTGGCCTTCAGATTAGCTCAAGAACAGTGCGCAGAGAGCTTCATGGAATGGGTTTCCATGGTCGAGCAGCTGCATCCAAGCCATACATCACCAAGTGCAATGCAAAGCGTCGGATGCGGTGGTGTAAAGCACGCCGCCACTGGACTCTAGAGCAGTGGAGACGCGTTCTCTGGAGTGACGAATCGCGCTTCTCCATCTGGCAATCTGATGGACGGGTCTGGGTTTGGCGGTTGCCAGGAGAACGGTACTTGTCTGACTGCATTGTGCCAAGTGTAAAGTTTGGTGGAGGGGGGATTATGGTGTGAGGTTGTTTTTCAGGAGCTGGGCTTGGCCCCTTAGTTCCAGTGAAAGGAACTCTGAATGCTTCAGCATACCAAGACATTTTGGACAATTCCATGCTCCCAACTTTGTGGGAACAGTTTGGAGCTGGCCCCTTCCTCTTCCAACATGACTGTGCACCAGTGCACAAAGCAAGGTCCATAAAGACATGGATGACAGAGTCTGGTGTGGATGAACTTGACTGGCCTGCACAGAGTCCTGACCTCAACCCGATAGAACACCTTTGGGATGAATTAGAGCGGAGACTGAGAGCCAGGCCTTCTCGTCCAACATCAGTGTGCGACCTCACAAATGCGCTTCTGGAAGAATGGTCAAAAATTCCCATAAACACACTCCTAAACCTTGTGGACAGCCTTCCCAGAAGAGTTGAAGCTGTTCTAGCTGCAAAGGGTGGACCGACGTCATATTGAACCCTATGGATTAGGAACGGGATGTCACTTAAGCTCATATGTGAGTCAAGGCAGGTGAGCAAATACTTTTGGCAATATAGTGTATATGTGTGTATATGTGTGTATATATGTGTGTATATATATATATATGTGTGTGTATATATTTGTGTATATGTGTGTGTGTATATGTGTGTATATATATGTGTGTATGTATATATGTGTGTATATATGTGTATGTATATATATATATGTGTGTATATATATATGTGTGTATATATATATGTGTATGGAGTGAGCGTGAGTGAACGCTGGCGTGGATGTCGCCGCTGCTCACCGCTGCACAGCAATTCCGACGGCGGTCTCCTGTTAACAGCCGACCTGTCCGCGGCCTACCTGTCTATAGCCCACCGGCCCATCCGTCAACAATCGACCATCATTAGCTGACCGGCCACTGGCCCACCTACCTACAGCCGACCCGCCACCGGCCCACCTGTATACAGCCGACCCGTCAGCCCACCAGCCACCGGCCCACCTGTCTACAGCCGACCTGTCAGCCGACCGGCCACCGCTCCACCTGTTTCCAGCCAACTGGTCAACGACATACCTGAGGATCCCTGGCCCTCCAGCCCTTCTTCCGTATTGGATGATGTGGATCCTCCGGTCGCTGTGGTGGTTTACGCTCGGCTGCCTTCTGGTGTCACTTGCCCAACTGCAAGCTGACGCTCTGTTCCAGTACTCCGTTGTTGTACTTCTGAAGCTCCGACGCCATGTCGACGTCCTCCAGCCTCCACATGGTTGCTCCATCCCCTCCGACATCGCCTTTCAGCCCAACCGGAGATACATCCACCGTGGATCGCGTGGTAAGCGCTTTCATAGGAACCCCGATCCCTCCATACAGACTCTGCTCACCACGCGCCGCCGTCCTCGTCACGCTCGCCGGAGTGCTAATCCGGCCTCCCTGGCTAGCTTACCCAGGGTGGCTAACCCCGCCCCCAAACTTAACTCTGCCACCGTCAGTCTCGGTCTCTTGAACATCCGCTCACTCAGTAATAAGGGGCTTTTAATCAGAGACGCCATTGCGGATCATAATCTTGATTTTTTATGTTTGACAGAGACCTGGCAGCTTCCTAATGATTTTATCTCTCTTAACGACTCTGCACCACCTGGCTTTGTTTACGTTTGTCTGCCTCGTGCGTCTGGACGCGGCGGAGGTCTCGCATTGTTTCATCGCGAGAGTTGGAAGGTTGTCCCAATTCCTGCTGCTCCTGTTTTTTGTTCTTTTGAATATTCCGCCTCACTGCTGCCTGGACCCTCTCCCACAGTTATCACCACCGTCTACCGTCCTCCTAAATATAATAAGGATTTTTTTGACTGACTTTTCTCAGCTCCTCACACATCTCTCAACCCTCTCCCATAATCTGATTATTTTGGGAGATTTCAACATTCACATGGATAATATCAGTGCTTCTCTCTCCAGAGACTTCTCATCCTGCCTGGAAAGCTTCGGTCTACATCAATACATCAACTTCCCAACTCACTGTAAAAATCATATTCTAGATTTAGTCTGTTGTTCTGGCATCACCCCCTCTGACTGTAAATCCCATACTGTTGCTTTTTCCGATCACATGCTCATTACTTTCAACGTTAAGCTCCCCCTGTCTAAAATCACCCTCCCTCGCATCATCTCCTTCCGGAATGTAAAGGACATCAACATTGACGCCTTCACCTCTGACATCAGTAATATCCCCAGTGTATCTGCCTGCTGCCCACCTGATGAACTGGTTTCCCACTACAATCAAAATCTCCATACTCTTCTGGACATCCATGCTCCTCTGAAATCTAGATCAGTCTCCTTCACTCACTCAGCTCCCTGGTTCACTCCTGCTCTCCGTCACCTCAAATCTCGCGGTCGTCAGCTGGAACGCCTTGCCAATAAAACTGGACTCACCATTCACAAAAATATGTACAAGGATCACATTGCACTGTACAAGACTTCCCTCTCTTCTGCCAAATCTGCATATTACTCTAACTTAATCCACTCCAACCGCCAAAACTCTCTTTTCCCTTCTCACTTCCATCACCAAACCTCCCGACTCCCTTCCCTATCATATGCAATCCGATGACTTCTGCAATAACCTTATGTCCTTTTTCGTCTCCAAAATCACAAATATCCATAAACACCTGACCTCTTCTGGAGCTGCAGCTCCTGGAGGCGACCCGGCTACCCCCTACCCATCTTTTGCAACCACCCTCTCCAGTTTTGACCTTCCATCTGTTCAAGCCATTTCTGACTTCATTCATAAATCCAAACCTTCCACATGTCAGCTCGATCCTCTCCCGTCCACTCTGGTTAAATCCTGCTGCTCTTCATTTGCTCCTCTCATCACCAAAATCATCCACTCTTCCTTAAACTCTGGTTCAGTCCCCTCTGCACTCAAAACCGCTACAGTCACCCCAATTCTGAAAAAACCTGGCCTGGACCCCACCGACTTCAATAACTTACGTCCCATATCCAATCTACCCTTCATATCCAAAATTCTG